TAAAATTTGTGAACATAGAGTTTTATAATTATGTACATAGAGTTCAGTAATTATGAACATAAAACTGTGTTCGTCTTGCAATGTAGAGACGATTTCTGGGCATAACAGTTGATATCAAGCCTTATTTGGCTTAGCCTACTACAATAGCCCAATGGCCCATTTCACTAAAGTCATAGCCCATGACCTTAGCAAATTGTACGGCAAATTATGCTGTGCATCAGTGCATCCGTATGCACTATGCATGCAAAAACAATGTCGTTTTAATAAAATGTGCGTCTCCTCTTAAAAAAAAAAAAAATCAGGTTCGATTCTTAGCAACAACATATGAACTAAAATTCCATAATCGATGAACTAAAATTCCATAATCGATGAACTATACTTCCATAATCTAATCTATGAACTAAAAATTTCAGAATGAATGAACTAAAATTCCATAATCTATAAACTAAAATTTCAGAATCGATGAACTACAATTCCATAATCAATGAACTATATTTCCATAATCAATGAACTATAATTCCATAATCTATGAACTATAATTCCAGAATGAATGAACAATATAATGTTGTTGCTGGGAATCGAACCTGAATTTTTTTTTTTAAAGGGGAGACGCGCGTTTTTTAATAAAACGACGTCGTTTTGGCATCCGTATGCACCATGCATGGTGCATACGGATGCACAGCATAACTATCCTGCCCTATAATTGGCAATTTATATCGTGCACTAGGCCGCACATTACACTGTGCGCCCTGGTGTAAAATGATGTCGTTTTGTACTTTTTTTTTTTGAAAAAATTTGGCTTTCCTGTATTTGTTGTTAACTTGTTTAAAAAAATCATGTTTTAAAAATGTGCGTAATTGTATACTAAAATATACATAATTCTATACTAAAATGTATATAATTGTATATGAGAATGTACATAAACTTTTAACTGTTAAAAAAAATCACGTGTTCGAATGTACATAATTGTATAAAAAATGTAAATAATTGTATAAAATAATGTACATAATTGTATACCAAAATGTAAATAATTATATAACATAATGTACATAATTATATAACATAATACACATACACTTTGTCACGTCAACTGCCCACACAACTTATCAAAACCACGTCGTTTTGGGAGGCGCGGGGCGCATAGTGTTATGTGCACCGTGGTGCAGGGTATAACGATTGACTATAATTTATATTGAAATGTAAATCACTGAAATGTTTATTTTAAGTATACTGAATTTTATTTTTAATGTATTATATATTTATTTTTGGGTAATATATTAAAAATGAATTTTAAAAAAATGAATCTGTAGTACATTGTTAATACACGTTCAATATACTAAAAATAAATATGTATATAGAGATAATCGCATCTTAGATAACTAAAGATACAAAGTTACAATGCGAAATTTACTCAGTACACATATATGATCCATCTTACAACTTAGATCATGATCCACAGTATAATGATTGCATTACCTTCACCGGAGCTAACAACCTAGGACTCGCTAGAGTACGACATGGTTGTGGCCAACTTTAAACTTGGGTACCAAATCCGACCATTCCATCTCTTGACTATCAACGTGCCTGGACTTAGAGGCAGATAATGACTTTGTTTGGTAAATGCTTGTTAACTGATCATTATTAGTTGTTAGCTAATTGGGTTAATTAGAGGAATAATTAATTGATAACATTAACTGATTGTAGAAAAGTTTTTGGTAAATTAATTGTTAACTGATAGCTATTTGGTATAATTTCTTTTTTTTAAAAAACTAATTGAAAAAGTTGATTTGAGTAACTTTTTGAATTTTAGCATTTTGGAATTACAAAAAAAACCAATTAACCAAACACTTATATTGATTTTTTAAACAAGTCAAACAATTAATAGTTGTCAAATAAATTAAAATTGGCTGATAAGCTAACTATTTTACCAAACAGGACCTATTGGCCCTGTTTGGTAAAATGGCTGTTAGTTGATAGCTGTAGCGGATTGTAGAAAAGTGTTTGGTAAATTAGTTGTTAGCTGATAGTTCTTTGGTATAATTTCTTTTTTCAAAAAGTTAATCGAAAAAGTTGTTTGGAGTAGTTTTTTGAATTTTAATTTTTTGGAGTTGTAAAAAGCTAATTAACCAAACATTTATATTGATATTTTAACCAAATCAAACAATTAATAGTTCTGGGATGTGGTAGGAGGGGATGTTGCGAGTTTTGTGCTAAACTGTCTTGAATCAGGTGACCTCCCGTCTGGCTTGAATGAGACAGATATTGTGTTGATCCCTAAAAAGAGTAATCCAGAGTTAGTAACTGATTTGCGCCCTATAGCACTTAGCAATGTCATTTACAGAATAATAGCTAAAATGATGGCTAATAGAATGAAGCCTTTGATGGAAGGAATAATATCTGAGACACAGAGTGCTTTTATCCCAGATAGATTGATAACAGATAATATTCTATTAGTTGCAGAAGTGGGGCACTTTCTGAATCGAAAACAGTGTGGATTGAGGGGCTGGGGTGCACTTAAGCTGGATATGGCTAAGGCGTATGATCGAATGGAGTGCCCTTTTCTCCGTAATATGATGATGGCATTGGGTTTCCATGATAGATGGGTTGATTTGATTATGAAATGTGTGACCACAGTCTCCTATAGTATTCTGATAAATGGCTCAAGGAGTGACCCAATAATACCCACGCGTGGTTTGAGACAGGGAGACCCGCTATCCCCATATTTGTTTATTATCTGTGCAGAGAGACTCTCGTTGTTACTACAACAGGCTAACAGAGCGGGATTAATTCATGGATGTAGGGTAGCAAGAGGTGCCCCTCAGATTTCTCATTTGTTTTTTGCGGACGATAGCCTTTTATTCTTTAAGGCTAATGTGGAAGAGGCTAATGAGATAAAGAAATGCCTGACTGTATATGAGGATCTATCGGGACAGGTGGTTAACTACCACAAGTCGAGTATTTGTTATAGCAGGAATACGAGTAATGTGGATAGGGAAAGTGTGGCCCAAGTTTTGGGGGTGGAGCAGGCACCAAACTTTGGCAAGTATTTGGGTCTACCTTCGTTTGTGGGTAGGAATAAAAAGGCAGCTTTTGCATATATTGAGGATAAAATACGCCAAAGAATTGGGTCGTGGAATAAAAGGCTATTGTCTCAGGCAGGGAAAGAAATACTGTTGAAAAGTGTGGCACAATCTATGCCTACCTTCTCAATGAGTGTTTTTTTGCTACCTATATCAGTATGCACGGCTATAGAAAGAACGATGAATAGATATTGGTGGGGTTCTGGGACGGACAACCGAGTTCACTGGAAGGCTTGGGACAAGCTATGTGTTCCTAAGAAGTATGGTGGATTGGGTTTTAAGGACCTACGTGCATTTAATCTAGCTATGTTGGGGAAACAGGCATGGCGAATGCTCACTAAGCCTGATTCCTTAGTAGCTCGTGTTTACAAAAGCCGATATTTTCCCAGGGATACTTTCTTTGATGCGCAGGTAGAAAATAATCCCAGTTTTTGTTGGCGGAGTATAATGGCATCAAAGAGCATAATTTGTAGTGGGGTCAGACGAAGAATTGGGAATGGGGAAACTACATCTATATGGACCCATCCATGGTTACTGGATGACCAGGACCCTATGATACAAACAGAGATGCCTATACAGTTACGAGAGGCCAGAGTAGTGGGGCTAATAGATCAACAAACTGGTACATGGGATAATGAAATTTTATCAGATTTATTTCAACCTACGGATGTCGAGAGAATTATGAGAGTACCTGTATCCCGGGATTATAATGATGCATGGTATTGGTACGGGGACCCGAGAGGATTATATTCTGTGAAAAGCGGGTACAGACGATTAGTTGGAGATTATGAGAATAATCAAGGCCCCTTTACTAATTGGTTAGCTTTATGGAGACTAAAAATTCCACCAAAGTGGAAAATGTTCCTCGGAGAGCTATTTGTGATATTTTGCCTACAACTACGAACTTGCTTTTAAAGAGGGTGGAGGTGAACCCATATTGTGCTATGTGTGGGATATCACATGAGAATACAATGCATGCATTAGTCTTGTGTGATTTTGCAAGAAACATTTGGGATCAATCCAACCTTACAATCCCCAATATTGTCACGGATATTTTTCATGTTTGGTTTGGGGAACTTCTAAATATTTTAGATTCTGATGGAATGTTATATGCAGCATCAATTCTATACAATATTTGGAAAGCTCGAAATGGTGCAGTTTGGGAGGCGTTTTTACCACGCCCGGGGTCCCTACTCAGAGCCGCAGCGGCAGCCAAGACCGCATGGACTCAGTCCTGCCCAGCCGTGGCTGCCACTGCCACTGCTACGCTGCCGACAGAAAACCGCCACGCTGCCCAGGCGAGTCCCACCGCCGGCCGCGGTGCTGCCGACGCCGCCGGATCCTCTGTGCCGCCAGTGAGAAGATGCAGGGTCGATGCGGGATATCTACACGAGACAGGGAATGCAACTGTAGGGGCCGTTTTATTAGATGGAGATGGAGCCTATATCTCGGCACTAACCGCGCCGCTACCGGCCTGTACGTCACCACTTATGGCTGAGGCTTTGGCGTGTAAGGAAGTTTTATCATGGCTAAAGGATCGAGGTGAACAGAATATTGAGATCTACACGGATTGTTTGACACTACAACGCTACCTTACATCATCAACCACTGCGTTTCGCTCTTACGTTGGCTATGCCATTGATAGCTGCAGGCAAATTGCCGTTTATTTTCACTCATGTTCTTTTAATTATATTTCTAGATCGGACAATTATTTAGCTCATGCTTTAGCCACTACGGCTTATCAGCAAACCTGATACTATGTACTGGGACACTCACCCACCAGACATTATTTCATCATTTTTCTAATGAAGCACCGCAGAAAATTTTCAAAAAAAAAAAAAAAAACAATTAATAGTGGTTAAATAAGTCAAAATTGATACGATGTATATGCCAATTTTTTACCAAACAGACCCAATTGTCTTTCAAAATCATAAATAAAATCAATAAGGTCAATTAAGGGTACTTTATCGTTGCAGCAGTGAAAGAAAAGTGTGCAGACTACAAAGAATGAATGGTGTTAAAGTTACAACAATCTTAGTCTTAGAGCAGATCTTGAAGAGCCTCTTCTAACAAAAACTGAGAGTGGTCCATTAACTCAGGGCTCAATCGAAACATGAGCACACAGAACTCCATCTGGTTGAGAGCCCCATCGCCGTCGAAATCCCCTTGCCGGAGCATGCTCCATAGATCGTCGTCGCTCAGATCTTGCAAGCCCAGCAGAGCAGAGTTGTTCTTCAGGCTGTCGAAAGTGATGACCCCTTTCTCCCTATCCATCAGCAGCTGAAACCCATTGCACAGCTCGCCTATCAACCCGTCCCCGCCTAGCTTTTCAGCCATGAGGGGCAAGAAATCTTGGAAATTTGACCCGGATTTAGATTCCATAATTACTGTGCAGATTGCAGAAACCAGAAAGAAGAATGAATGGTTGGTTATTGTGTTTGTGGGGAGGGGGAATTAGGGTGGGCGTGAATAAATAGGGAGAAGAGGGAATATGGGAATTTCGGAGAAGCCATGGGAATGAATCCAAAAGAGAATACAACTAAGAAACCGAAGGTTCACTTTGCTTGGCAATTGGCATAGTTGACCAAGAAATTGCCTTCCGGCTTCAACTTTCAATAGCGTTAGCCAACTGGCAACTCGCCACTTGATCGGGTCAAACAGGCTTCCCAGGGCTATATTTGTCAATTATATAGGCAAATACCACTTTTCCCAAGACTTGTGGTTTAATGACATCAAGGTTGCAATCTCATATAGGAGGGTATGAGTTCGAGCCTCAGTTAAAGCGGCATGAACTCTTTGTTACCTTCAGTAAGTTGAGAAAGTAACTTTTCTCCCCGACTAGTTATAAATATGCACATTGCGCAATTATAAAGTCTAGCTCCAATTAATAACCGGCAAATTATGCTGTGCATCCGTATGCACCCTGCATGGTGCATACGGATGCAAAAACGACGTCGTTTTGCATAAAACGTGCGCCCTACTTTTTTTTTAAAAAAAAAAATCAGTTTCGATTCCAAGCAACAACATTATGTTATTCATTTTTAATTCATTCATTTTGGATTTTTTAGTTATGAAATTCTGGACGTGTAGTTATGCAATTCTAGATGTGTAGTTATGCAATTCTGGAATTATAGTTATGCAATTTTGGAAGTGTAGTTATGCAATTCTGGAAGTATAGTTATGAAATTATTGATGTGTAGTTATGCAATTCTGATTTTATTTTTTTTAAGTTAGACGCCAAAACGACGTCGCTTTTGCATCCGTATGCACCATGCATGGTGCATACAGATGCACAACATAACGCTCCATAAAAATGAAGGTAATATATAAAATAGTTAATAGATGATGTAACTCAACATTATAGATCATGTCCAATATTGTTTATATACAATGATTATAAGTGTTTAGCCCATAGATAAAAGTTTCTTTGATATACCGATAATTTTAATTAGTTTTACAATAGCAATACGTTATAACTCAGTTAAATGATGTACATATATATTATTGTGATAATTGACAAATTAACAATAATTCAATTTCATTTTTTTTTAAATTTAATATAAACTTATGAAATTACCAAACATTTAGAGAATATAAGTAACAATTGCAATGCTCATTAACCAAAAAAAAAAAAAAAAAAAAGGAAAAAAGGTAATGGACATGCATCTAGGTGGAGAATTGAAAGACAAACAATAACTTAGGAGGGGGAATTAGGGTGTGAATAAATGAGGTGCAATCGTATCCCCGTGTGATACAATCATGTAGTAGTTGTGATGTAATTTTTCATAAGTTCGTACTTTGTGAGTTAAGGTTGATTCTTACCTGATTAGAAATTACATATATGTGTGTGCACGCGAGAGGGATTAAAATGCATATTTTCTTTGTGTTTTAAATCCAAGTCAAATGGTGTGAGATTGACCATAGCCTCTCTCATGTCAGCTCTTACGCTAACACATATAGTCATATAGTGATATAGGGGCTGCTAAAATCGTGTGGTCCATGTGCTTAGAATTATTTTGCCTATTTTCCACGACCGTGTTGATAATTTCGTCCAATATGGACAAGCGAACTTCTTTATTACACAAATTTCGTTATTTTTAATTAATTTAAGAAGTGGACAACTTTATAACGTTCAATATCAAAATAAAATATTTCATCACATGATCCCTATTGATAAGTGCTTTTATGGAATGGGTTAAATTATTCATTTTACGTATTCAATTTAATTAATGAAATTTAACTCATATTATGTAAATATTAATTTGTTTTCATAATATTTAGTTTAGTATTAGTGTATTAATGAAATTTAACTCATATTATTTAAATATTAATTTGTTTTCATAATATTTAATTTAGTATTAGTGTATAGATATAAAGCATATTGTCAAGGACCATGTAGTCTAATGACATTGATGGAGGAGCTGTCAAGCTGTGTCAAGCTGTCAAACTAGTCAATGGTGTTTTATGTCTTTTCATCTGCATTCTGTTATAATCGTTGGTTATTTTGCCAAGGTGTTCAAGTTGTAATAAGAGGAAGCTACTGCCTTCCTCCCTCTGAGACTTTTCTTCTTTTCCTTTTCAATGAAACAGTACTGCGTTCTTCCCTTTCAGCTTTCATGCCTCATCTTCATCACAAACCAGTAAGGTGTAGCTTCTGATTTTAAGATGGTATCATAGCGACACCGCACGTATGCTGCTGCAGTCACCATGAATCCTGAAGCCTCTCAAGGAAATGTCGCCGGAGATGGAACAACTCCAACTCCGGTCAGCCAGATCCATACTAATCAGAGCCCTGTTCATCGGATTGAAGAGTTTGATGACCCGATGTACCTTCATATCACGGAAAATCCGAATTTGGTATTGGTCTCACCACCGTTGTCTGAGCACAACTATGCTTCATGGAGCAGGTCCATGAAGATAGCCCTAGGAGTGAAGAACAAGTTCGGATTCGTGAATGGAGCTGTTACGAGACCTAATGCAGCAGATCCTAAGTATCCTGTTTGGAGAAGGTGTAATGACATTGTATGCTCTTGGATTCTGAAGTCCTTGAACACAACAATCGCAGAGAGTGTTTTGTATTTTGAGTTTGCAGAAGATATCTGGAATGCACTCATGAAACGATACTCTCAAGCTGATTCACACAAGATTGCAGAAATTCAGAATGAGATATTTAGAAATCTGCAAGGTAGTATGTCTATTAATGAATACTTCACTAGATCTAATGCCTTATGGGAGCAATTGAATGTTATGAGGCCCTTGCCAATATGTGAGTGTGTGCCTAGGTGTTCGTGCACTCTTATGAATAAGATCCAGAAAGAAATACAAGATGATCAGGTCATCAGATTCCTTGAAGGCCTCAATGAAGAATTTGAAACTATAAAATCTGGAGTGCTTGTGATGGATCCAGTTCCTCCTATTGAAAAGGTCCTAAATATGGCTCTAAAACTGGAAAGGAAGCTCAACAGTTCTATCAACTACAAGAACAATGAGGTTGTCCAATCCAATGCTATTCAGGGTGATCCAAATCACTATGTTGATGAACAAAGTGCTGTAGCTATGGTGACTGGAAATAACAAGAGAAGATTCAACACTAATGGAGGGAAGAGTGTGCCAAAGTGCACATAATGTGGAATGAGTGGCCATACCATAGACAAATGCTATAAGAAACATGGATATCCACCTGGTTGGATCCCTGGATATAAATCTAAGAACAAGCAGAATCAAGAGATGCAACATAACCACAATACCTCTGTAAACCAAATTGGGGATGTAGGTTTGAGTACTGAACAGTTTCAGAAGTCACTGACCTTGCTGCAGAATCAAAGTCAAGGGAATCAGGCTTCAACAAGTGCTGCAGTAACAGTGAACAAAGCTGGACTCAGGCCAGACTTTAACAATATGTCAGAAGAGCTAAAAGAAGGCAAGTCTATCTCTAATTCTTACATTAATGCCACTTTGAACTGGCCTACTATGTGGATTTTAGACTCAGGAGCAACTGACCATATCACTTGCTCCTTAGAGTATTTTAAGAACTGCATCAAGGTCCATGATATATCTGTTAAGCTGCCTAATGGGGAAGCTATACAAGTCACACACATAGGAGAAGTCAGTCTATATCCCAATTTGATGTTAAAGAATGTTTTGCATATTCCAAATTTTGCCTTCAATATTATATCTGCCAGCAAGTTGGCTAAAGAGAATGGCTGTTCACTTGTTATGAATGCTCATTTGTGTAACATTCAGGGAACCCATGGGACAATGGCTGGTTTTGCTGAGCAAAAAGGAGGGCTGTACCTGCTTAGTAATCCTCCTGCCAAAGAAAAGACAATGCATGAAGGTTTTAATAGTCAATGTAACAATCTGTCTTTACAAGTATGGCATGATAGACTGGGACATTATCCTGTAGATAAAATTCACTCCCTAAATGGAATAAAACATGTTCAGTTTCACAAGCCTTCTGATTTTGCCTGTGACATATGCCATTTTGCTAAACACAAGAGATCTACATTTCCTGTTAGGACTTCTAGGGCAGAAAAATGCTTTGATCTAATTCACATGGATGTGTGGGGTCCTTTCCCTGTTGCTTCTTTGAAAAGGGAACATTATTTTTTAACAATTGTGGATGACCATAGCAGGTTTACATGGCTTCACTTGATGAAACACAAGTCAGAGGTTAAGGGACTGTTTCAGAATTTCTATTGCTATGTTGAAACACAGTTCTCATCTAGAATCAAAGTGGTAAGGTCAGATAATGGGACTGAATTCTTTATGAGTGCCTTTTTCAATGAAAAGGGTATTGTGCATCAGAAGTCATGTGTGAATACCCCTCAGCAGAATGGGATTGCAGAAAGAAAGCATCAACACCTTCTAAATGTGGCTAGGGCCCTTAGATTTCAGTCTGAGGTACCAATAAAGTTTTGGGGGCACTGTGTGTTGTATGCCTCCTTCATTATTAATAGGCTACCAACTCCCTCAAATAATGGAAGATCTCCTTATGAAATTTTGTTTGGGAAAGAGATGAATTATGAGCAGTTCAGAACATTTGGGTGCTTATGTTTTGGTTCCACTGCCTCACAAGGAAGGAATAAGATGATGCCAAGGGCTAGAAAATGTATTTTTTTAGGATTTCCAGCATATTTTGTATGATATTGCTGATAAATCTATCTTTATTTTCAGGGATGTACAATTCTATGAATCAATCTATCCCTTCAAGAAACAGACTGGAGAAATTAGGCCTGATCCACTTGCAACTGACATGTTTAATCCTTCACTGCCACTAATCCCTGTTGATGCAGATGTTGTACCATTGAGGACCACAAGAAGGTGTGACATAGATGTTAGTCCCAGAACTACACCTCAATGTTCAAGGGATCAGCAGTTCAGTGATGGAAACAACTATGAGCCAGTCTTTGAGCAATACAATGATGGGAGTGAAAATGAGGCAGTCAGTGATCCTGGTAGTCAGGCAACTATAGAAAATAACTCATCAAGAGATCTTCTTGACAAACCACCACTTAGAAGGTCTGCAAGAGCTAAAAACTTTCCCACCAAGCTGTATGATTATTATTGTCAATCAATGGTGAGAACTTCTCCACACTCCTTAGACAAGGTTTTATCTTATGATTCCCTACCTTCCAGCTACAGGATGTGTGTTTCATCTATAACTTCCACACATGAGCCAAAGTCCTATAGTGAAGCTGTCAAATGTGAATCTTGGAGAAAGGCCATGCAGGCTGAAATTGAGGCTCTAATTGCCAATAAGACTTGGGAGATTACAGACCTGCCAACTAACAAGAATCCAATTGGCTGTAAGTGGGTGTTTAAGGTGAAACATAAGGCAGATGGGTCAATAGAAAGATACAAGGCTAGACTAGTAGCCAAGGGTTACACTCAACAGCTAGGAGTGGATTATAATGAGACTTTCTCACCTGTGGCAAGGATGACCACAATAAGGACCTTCCTAGCAGTGGCTGTGGCAAAAGGTTGGGATGTCTAACAACTTGACATTAATAATGCTTTTCTACATGGTGACTTAGAGGAGGAAGTTTACATGTCCTTGCCCCCTGGTTTCCATAGTGAAAAGCCTAATCAGGTTTGCAGATTATTAAGATCCTTATATGGGTTGAAACAGGCAAGTAGACAATGGAATGCAAAATTGACTCTAGCTCTACAGAAGCATGGATTCCAGCAGTTATCTGCAGACCCCTCACTCTTCACAAAGAGTTCAGAAAATTCATTCACTGCCCTTCTCATATATGTAGATGATATCTTGGTGGCTGGGACCAACTCACATCACATTGTGCAACTAAAGAAATATCTTGATAAAGCTTTCAGGATAAAGGACCTTGGTCCTCTGAATTACTTCCTAGGGATTGAGGCTTTCAAAACAATGGATGGCATCTATTTGTGCCAAAGGAAATACACTTTGGACATCTTGACAGAAAGTGGTTTCCTAGAATCTAAACCTGCAAGGACACCAGCAGTAACAGGACTTAAGCTCAATAATTCAGATGGGGACTTAATTGACAACCCTGAATCATATAGAAGACTAGTTGGGAAGTTGTTGTACTTGACAAACACCAAGCCTGATATTTCACATGCTGTGCAACAACTAAGTCAGTTTGTTGATAAGCCTAGAAGTACTCACCTCATTGCTGCTCATAGAGTGCTTAGATACATCAAAGGATCTCCTGGAAAAGGGCTCTTCTACAGCACAAGTTCTGAGATCAAATTACAAGGATTTTCAGATTCTGATTGGGCTAATTGTGCAGAAACTAGGAAGTCCATCACTAGTTATTGCATTTACCTTGGAGATAATTTGATCTCATGGAAGACTAAAAAGCAAGCCACTGTTTCCAGATCTTCATCTGAAGCTGAGTACAGGGCCCTAGCTTCTACTGTGTGTGAGATACAATGGCTCCACTATTTGTTGACTGATCTAAAGGTGCAACTTCCAACTCCAACTCCTTTGTTCTGTGACAATCAGTCTGCAATTGCCATTGGGGAGAACTATGTTTTCCATGAACGGACTAAGCATATAGAGATAGATTGCCATGTTGTCAAGCAAAAGGTGCATGAAGGATTGATCAAATTGATGCCTATTTCATCACAAAGACAAGTTGCATATGGTTTCACCAAATCTTTGTCCAAACCAGCCTTTGATTCATTCCATTCTAAGTTGGGCCTGCAAGATATTCATGCTCCAACTTAAGGGGGGGTGATGGAGGAGCTGTCAAGCTGTCAAACTAGTCAAGGGTGTTTTATGTCTTTTCATCTGCATTCTGTTATAACCGTTGGTTATTTTGCCAAGGTGTTCAAGTTGTAATAAGAGGAAGCTACTGCCTTCCTCCCTCTGAGACTTTTCTTCTTTTCCTTTTCAATGAAACAGTACTGCGTTCTTCCCTTTCAGCTTTCATGCCTCATCTTCATCACAAACCAGTAAGGTGTAGCTTCTGATTTTAAGAGACATCAAGTTGTTCTCCCATATGAGAGGTTGTGAGTTCGAACCTTAGTGAAAGCGATATTAACTCTTTGTACTTTAATAGGTTGCGAAAGTAGTTATGAACAGATATTGCTTCATAATAGAGTTAGTAATACTTAACAAAAAATACAAAAGGTAAGACTACCATAGTCATATATATAATTAACAAAAAATACAAAAGGTAAGACTACCATAGTCATATATATAATTTTAGGGAAGGGATCAGATGCATTTGTTGCTTTCCGTGCGGTGGATTAATGTGCGTGAGGTTTATACTTAATGTGCGTGAGATTTGTACTCAATGTGCCTGAGATTTGTATTTAATGTGCGTCATGTTAATATGCGTGAGTTTTGTACTTAATGTGCCTGAGTATTGTGTTTAATGTGCGTGAGATTTGTGCTTAATGTGCGTGAATATTTCAGAATTACGAGCTCAGAAGGAAGCAGAACAGAAACTCACGCACATTAACGCCCAAGCTTCTTGTTACTTCTTCCTTCAATTTGGCCATGGATTCTGGATTATCAGCTACCTTCAATGCAGTTGAATGTTTATATAAATGACGCACGCACAGTAAAATTTGCACAGCAGCAAAGTGTGAATTTCTGTTGTATTATTCTCATAATTCTTAACCACCATAGCTCGCCTCCGCATCATCATCATCAGGGAGGGGGCAAATGGCTACTGGGGATGGGGAAGAAGCTGACATCAATATTTTATGCATTTTACACATTCACGCACATTAAGTACAAATCTCAGGCATATTAAACACAACACTCACGCACATTGAGTACAAATCTCACGCACATTAATCCACCACACATCTGCACGAGAAGCATTCAACCGCACGGGAACCTTTCACTATAATTTTATATAACACTCATATTAATTTTTTTTTCTAAATTTTAATAAATCTATAGATACGTAAATTTATCATTTTAGGTACATAAATCACTACATTACTATTGATTTATAAAGTTGCAACTATTTACGTACATAAATTCACTAATGTAGGTACATAAATTTACTACATGGGTTCATAACTATACATTCATAAAATTATCACTATAGGCCCATAATGCCACTATTACAAAATTTATAACGTTATCATTGTAGGTTCATAAAGTTACTAATACATGTTCATTAAGTTACTAAATCATAAAGTTAGTATTACATGTTCATTAATTAACAGTTATGTGTTCATAAAATTACTACTATAAGTTCATAAAAAATTATTAGAATGATATATTAAAAATATATATGAATATCAGTGTTTTAAAAATCAGCCTAGGCGGTCGGCTAGGCGCCTAACTCGACCGAGTCGGCACTCAACTTAACCAAGTGGTTTTTTTTTTTTTTTTTCTTTTTTTGCCTACTCGGTTGTTCATCTTCTATATTCATCCAGTCATGTGCTCAACTAATAACCATATAACATATGTAGTTGACTAGTTTCAGGGATTATAACAATCTAACAACTCACAGCCTTGAGTGGGAAAAGTGAAAACGATATACTCGCATTACTTGATTGTCTAGACGGCGCCTAGGACCTAGGCCCCTGACTAGCGCCTAGCTCCTCTGCAACATTGATCAATATACGTGTTAATGTGTCATTATAATATCTCAACGAGATATTTTTAATGAGATTTTTATATATTGATCTTATTTATTCAAAAAAGATATAGAGAATAATATATTCAAGTAACAATTGATCAATTTATGTCTTTTTAATGAACTTACAATATTATATTTAGAAAAATTTACACTTTTCATCACTAAATTATAGAGTAATTGTAAGATTCGTTCCTACTTATTGGTCATGTTCACTTCTTATCACTAAGATATATAATTGATGTTACAAATTTCGTTCCTAATGTTTTTTTTTTTTTTTAAAGGAATGAAATTTGCAACTTCAATTATAGTTTAGGGATAAGAAATGGGTACGACCAACAAGTAGGATGGAATGAACCTTGCAATTACTCTATAACTTAAGAACAAAAAACGTGATTTTTTCTTATTTTTATATACCCGAATCCATATTGTAACATGGATCTTGTTCCATAATATAATTTGCCTTCAATCCTGGAATAGGAAAGCCCATAGTTACTAATTAAAATTAAAGTTTCCATCTAGTTCAATATGTTTACTTGTTTAGGGCTTATTGGATTAACATAGTATTTATAAACAAGGTTGTAGATCTGTTGGGCCTAGGCATATATGATTTGATGTCGGGTCCTTGCTAAGAAAAATCGTTATGCTATGGACCCGTGTCCAGTATACATTGTGGACACGGTAACGATGCCGTTAGTGGCACCGTTATCTTCCACCATTTTTCTTTTTAATTTCAGGCCGCTTCGTTATAGGAGCATATATTCATAATTTTATTACTATATGTTCATAATTGTAAGTTCATAATGTCAGAGCTCTGTGTTCATAATTCTATAACTTTACATTCATACTTCTATAGTTGTACATTCATAATTTCGTAACTGTACATTCATAATTCAATAACTGTAAATTCATAATTTTCGAAGCTCTATGTTCACAATTTTAGAGCTCTATGTTCATAATTTTATCACTATATGTTCATAATTGTAAGTTCATAATGTCAGAGTTATGTGTTCATAATTTCATAACTGTACATTCATAATTCCATAATTGTATATTCATAATTTTTGAAGCTCTATGTTCATAATTTTATCACTGTATGTTCATAATTGTAAGTTCATAATGTCAGAGCTCTGTGTTCATAATTCTATAACTGTACATTCACAATTCCATAAATGTACATTCATAAAACGAATAACGCCGAGACAAAATCAATTTTTTCTTTTAACTGGAATGCCGTCGTTTTTCCTCAAAACGACGTCGTTTTGGACTCGTGTCCACAATGCATTGTGAACACGAGTCCACAGCATAATTTGCCTTGCTCAGAATATACTAACATTTTTACAATTATGGATATAATTCGGATAAACGTCAAACTGCAAAGAAACAATGAATTCACGTTTGAGGCATTTTGCATTATATTGGTGTCATTGTTTATATTTTTAAAAAGAATTAGAATTTTTTTTTAGTAATATACTGATAGTACTATTTTTGTTCAACTTTTTAAAAATTAGTGTATATATTTGATTTTAATGAATTATGTTTACAAAATGCTTTTGAAATATATTTTAAAAATAAAAGTTATATTAGTATAGGTAACTTCATATGTGTATATATACTTAATATAATAATATATGTATGTTTTTGGTTTTCAAAAATATAATAATATATGTATAAAGAATAGTAATAATAAAAAAAAATTGAGCTATTGTCACTTTTGATACTTTGACTATTATTCATTTTTTATATTTAGTCGTCAACTATTAATTTTGTCATATTTTGTACACACGTATGCTTTTGTCGTCACATTTGATCCTACCAATCAAACATCTAGCAACCACTTACTATAACTATCACTTTTATATCGTTTTCAAGTTATCATATCTTGAACTCCACTTATACTATTGTTATATCGTCGCTGAATGCAGTCATTTAATCAAGAGGCTAAAGAGGACGAGAGTTATTCATATTTTTAGAGAAGGAAATTAATGTGCTGAAAAACTTTCTAATCTGGTTCAAGATGTCGCCCCAGGGTCCTTTTACTAGATGACCCTCCGGATTGCTTAGCTGGCCTTCTCCTTGCTGATGCAAGAGGGGCATGTGGGGACTAGCCCCCTCCAATGTATCGAAAATATATATAAGTACCAAAAGGTGAATTTCCCATAATGGAACCTTATGGGAGATGAATTAAAGAGTAGGTTAGTCATTTTGTTCAACATGTAAGATTTGTGTTGGACTTTTTTATGTGCAACGTGTAAAATATGTAGAACTCAAATATAATCAAATTAAATTCAAATAAATAAAGGAATAATGTTTAAATTGGCCACTGAACGTAACCTGAAAATGTAATTAGGCCACTGAACTCTCCAAACGTATGCAATTTTACCGGATAGCAGGCAGGTTACCATCAATTTTAGCAGGTTACCTGCTTACGTGGCAGCTTAGTTGGAATTTTTAATAATTTTTAAATAATTTTTAATAATTAATTTTAATAATAAATTTATAAAAAATTGGAAAAAATTAAATAAAAAATAAAATAAAGTCGTTTTTATTTTTTTAACATTTTTTAAATAAAAATTTATTATTAAAATTTATTAAAAATTTATTAAAATTTATTAAAAATGCCAACTCAGCTGCCACGTAAGCAGATAACCTGCTAAAATTGAGGGTAACCTGCTATCATGTGAAATTGCATATTTTTGGAGTGTTCAGTGGCCTAATTGCACTTTTTTCGTTGGCCTAATTGCACTTTCAGGTTACGTTCAGTGGCCAATTTGAATCTTATTCTAATAAATAAATAGAATAGAATAGTTGCTAGCCTTACAATAGGAATTAAAATTTTAATTATTATAATATTAAGGCCAATATGCCAACAAATATTAAAATTATTAATCCATATCATTTTCCCTAATTAACCAATTACACTAAAACCTCCAATTAATAACTTTCTTATAAATGTCTAGTAATAATTTATTTTCCTCGGATTATTACTGTTAAATATTTTCAAAGAATAAAAGAGTATGAAAACTCTAGCCGCCGCCGCAGCCACAGAGTCCGCCTCAATGCATCGTGGCTTCGTGTGAGGAAAGCGACTGGAAAACTTTTGTTTTCAAAGTTCATACAATATTATAATAATAATAATAATAATAATAATAATAATAATAATTGATGGAACAATATGACTCCGGCTCTACACAGGCCAATACAGCTCGCATAGAATATAGGAATAAGGTTCAAATTAGCTACTGAACGTAACTTGAAAATGCAATCAGGTCACTGAACGAAAAAAAAAATATGTAATTAAGCTACTGAACACTCCAAATGTATGCAATGAACACTCCAAATGTATGCAATTTCACCGAATAGCAGGTTATCATCAATTTTAGCAGGTTACCTACTTACGTGGCAGCTGAGTTGACATTTTTAATAATTTTTAATTTTGTAAATAATTTTAATAATAAATTTAAAAAATAAATAAAATAAAAATAAAACGACGGGGTAACCACCGACCACCCCGTCGTTTTTTTTTTTAAAAAATTATTATTAAAAATTATTTAAAATTTTATTAAAAATGCCAACTCAGCTATCACGTAAGCAGGTAACCTGCTAAAATTGATGGTAACCTGCTATCAAGTGAAATTGCAAACATTTGGAGTGTTCAGTAGCCTAATTGCACTTTTTTTTTCATTCAGTGGCCTAATTGCATTTTCATGTTACGTTCAGTGGCCAATTTGAACCTTATTCCTAAAATATAAAGAATAAAAGGTAGATAATTGTGTGGAATTGTACTAGTATTAGATGAAATAGAGCCAAAGTATTACATGAAGATTGTAAGAATAAGACATGACAGGTGATATTTTGTAAGGAAATAAGCTAAGGCATCCCCGGTAATAATTGGACAATGCCTATTTATATAAGGGAATTGTAAATTTACTAATTTTAGCTAAATACATGGTAATACTAAGTCAAGAATCAAGATCCACACTCTTAGGCTAAGAAAGTGGGCTGGATTCGGCCGTTCGGATCCCCGAGATGGGTTCCGGGGTGCCCAAACACCGCTTGGGGCCCAGCCATGGAGGTCGGGCCCTCGGTGCTCGGGTGCCGATTGTCGAGTACGCTTACTCGGGTACCCACTCTCCGTGTGGGTACAATCATTAGGGTAATGCATCCGGGTTCCTTACTTGTTTTGGGCTCGGATCCTCCATTTTGGTCCGGGTCATCTACCTTCGGTCGCCCAGGCAATTTTCATGGGCTCCTAGCTCTGGGCTTTCGAATCCCGGATCTCCATTTTTTGGCCAGTTTTAATATCTCCATCAATAATGATAATGATAATAATAATAATAATAGCCTCAAAGCTAAGTGATGAAATAATTGATATATAATTCTCGTATTTAAAGATTACAAATTTGATTTTTGGACGAGGATCTTCCTAATTAACTGAAAGAGAATACTATACGCTACAAAATTGAAGAACAAACTTGTACACGACGCAGGAAGTAATAGTCTTCTTTTTCTTTTGCATATTAAGCAAAAGTTAAAGGAGAAAGGTGGGTGGCTGCGGAAAAATAATGGCACAGAATTGAAGGTGTTGACAGACATAAGAAAGAAGCTAAGGATGAAGGAATAAAAGTCGTAAATAAACGTCTACCGTTTGGTTGGAGGCCGGGAATTAAAATTTCACTCCCATTTAATTTTGAAAACAAGTAAATGTTTTCATTTGGTTAGAAAATTGTAATATTGTGGATTGCAATTTTATTATTTTCATAAAATTAAAATTTTATGCTCTCATTGATATTTCAATTCCGCATTGGTTGAAAAGAAAAAATATAACACTGAGACAAAATTATTCTTCTCTTTCTTTTACCTATAAAAATATCATTGAGACAAAATTACTTTTTTTTTTTTTTGGATTTAAATATTTAAAAGCTTAACATTGTATTATGTTGAACTAAGTTGTATACTTTTATTTTATGATTTTTTTTTTTTTTTTTTTGGATGTGAGCTTATGAAGCTTAACGTTGCATGGTTAAGTAAATTTTGAGAGCTATTACATATGTTATAGTGATACAAGTTTATATCCAAAGTATCCAAATAACAATTGCTTTGCATTATAGTTTTGACACAAAATTTACTCGTTAAGATTAATAATAATAATAATAATAATAATAATAATAATAATAATAATAATAATAATAATAATAATAATAATAATAATAATAAGAAGAAGTATGTTCATTATATATTTTGATTTTTATACTACTTATTTTCATCCAATTTCCATAAATACCAAATATTTAAATTAAATTAAAATTCTCAATAATTTTATTCCTGCAAACCAAACACTGAAATCTAAATTCTCACTTTTTTCCACATCATTCATCTCCCATAAAATTACAATTTCCCCCCCTAATTCCCTCATTGCAACCAAACATCCCATTATCGTTATTTCCATTTCGATCACTTCCATCCTTCAAAATCCCAACCAAACATCAATAGTACTTCTAAAATTATAAAATGGTCAAATAAACTTAGCTCAACTAGTTAGTCTATTCTTACATGTATATCTTTTTGCATGTGGCGTTTTAACGGTTGGTGGACGCATTGACATTTCACTATTTTCAAATTTTAAATGATAAGGAATATCGTTATCTCGATGGACCCCGGTTTTGGTAGGGAGTAAGTAATTGCTCAATAATCCGGCTTTTATGAAAATGCATGGCTGTCCATTAGGAGGACAATAAAGTAAAGCTATAAGAAAATACTAGGCAAATTATATTATAAACCATGTTCATCTTGTATTATAAACCAAAATTTATTATTGTAATATTGTATATTAATTAAAACGTATTGATATATCATTGATAATGGTTCATGATAGTTTTACAGGACCATGTAAAAATATAAATAGGACATGTAAAAATACGGGTGTTAGACCAAAATAATATTTACAACTAGGCTAAGAAATAAATAAAAAAGCACAAATCAAAGGCTCAAGCTAGACTAGCCTTTATTGCCCACTTGACCTCCAACCCAAAGGACATGCTGCTTGTAAGGTTTGAACACATGTTGTGGTTGCGAGAGTAGAGAAGAAACGACTAGACTAATTGTCACAGTTCGTACCTAATATTAGGCCACTCAATTACGGTAGTACGCCATAAAATTAATTAATCAATTAAATGAAGAAGAAGAAGAAGACGAATGCTATAGAAGTACGTATTGAAAAGAGCTTTGAGTTGTCCAAAATTGAAGAGGCAAATTCATATTTCATATTATTTGATTTGCCCATGCCAAAATTGTGTTAATATACTTTCAAATTCTTTACAAAGACTTTTCAAGTTGTAAAGTCATCAGCATATGTGATATGGAATCATTTAAGAGTTTTTGCACTTTTGGTCCTACGACTATAATAACACTATCAGGATTAATCCATGACTTTCAAACATTACAATCTCAGTCCACGACTATTGATTGCATATTGTTACATGCACCCTGGCACATGATATAACTATTGGAATCACTCATTTCATTTGTAAAACTTTATGATATAGAATTACTTTTGGAATAATTAAGTTTTGTTGATTATGTTTTGTATTTTGTTATTTGTTTTGAAAGTATCCTATTTAACATGTCATATTTATTATTCATTTGATCAAACTAATATTTTTTAAAAAAATTTATTTTTAAATTTGATTTTTTTTTTGTATTTAATAGTACTTTTAAAGCAATTTTTAAATACATAAATTTTATATTTTTTTTTTGAAAACATATAAATTTTATATAATAATACTAAACTTACTATTATCAAAATTAAAAATAATTTTAGTTGAACCTTGTTAATTGAATCAGGCACATAAAATGAGATGAAAATAGTATTTGTCAATTTTATCTTAGTATCTAAAAACTAATAAGTATGAATGAATGTTATATCATTCGTTTATGTATATTTTTTCAATTACATATTTTTTTTAAAATATACATTATGCTATAAGAGTTATACTAGATAATATTTTGATAAAAAAATACTCATATCGTTATAACTTTTGTTATATTTTTCACTATTATTATGATGCACATGCATCTACCGTATATTGTCTTATCTTCTTCAATACTAATAATATATAGATATTATATATTAGAGTACTATATAAGTTATTTTGTAACATAAATTTATAAAAATAGTTTACATTATTATCATTATTATTATTATACAATAATATAAATATGTAAAATCTAAATAAATAAAAAATTTTAATATAAATTACAAATATTGAATATTTATTTTTGCGTTAGGTATAAAAAATACTAGTTATAAATAATAAACATGAGTAATATAATAATAATTTATAAAAGGAGCAAGTACAAAATATAGTATTACTACACGTAATTGTCTGTACTATATCCATAGTATATTTCCTTAATTAAAGTTGAATCATATATTGGATTGATTTTCTGGAAAAAGCCGGCATTGATTAACGTACCCAACCACTTGCGTGTCAGAGTCAAGGATGTTCCGTTGTACTGATGTAGAGGCTTTGTAGCCATTTCATTATCTGTTCTTTAAATAATTACATTTTTGGAAATGACTTTTGACCAATCGATTTAGCTACAGAGCAATAAATCAATAATGCACTGGAATTCTTTCTCAAAAAAAAAAAAATAATGCACTGGAATTCGCAATGAAAATTAACAAAAAATAAAGAAATCAGTGCATAAGGTGCAAAATATGAGTTCATCAAGGCACCATTGCTTTTCCCTACTCTTCTTTCTTCTCTTTCACAAGATTTCCTGCGCAACTGATACCATAACGGCAAGTTTGTCCGTGAAAGATGGTAAAGGAGAGACCGCCATTGTTTCCTCTAATGGAGCCTTCGAACTGGGTTTCTTCAGCCCAGGTAAGTCTGGGAATAACCTATATCTTGGCATATGGTACAAGAGCATATCTGTTAAAACTGTGGTGTGGGTCGCCAACCGGGAAACCCCTCTGAATACTACCTCAGGAATCCTTAAAATCATCAAACCCGGAGTTCTGGTTCTCCTCAATGAAGCTAATAGCACCATATGGTCAACAAATACCTCAAGAACAGTGCAGAATCCCATTGCGCAGCTTCTGGGTTCTGGGAATCTTGTCATTAAAGACGCAGGGGATGGCAATGAAGAGAAGGATTTTGTGTGGCAGAGTTTTGATTACCCAACTGATACATATTTGCCAGGGATGAAATTAGGTTGGAACTTTGTAACTGGGCATGAGACATACCTAACATCCTGGAAGAGCAGAGAAGACCCATCAACTGGGGATTATATGTATTACATGAATCGCAATGGTTTTCCACAGAATTTCCTGAATAAGGGCTCAGCTGTGGTGTATAGATCTGGGCCGTGGAATGGTTTCCAGTTTAGTGGGTCACCAAATTCAAGAAAGAGCCCTTTCTATGAAATTGGATTTGTTTTTAACCAAACCGGAGCATACTTCACTAACCAGCTTCTTCAACCACTTTTAACCCGGGCAACATTGAGAGGAAATGGTTTTCTGGAACGCACAACATGGATTGATCGGACTCAAAGTTGGGGCCTTTACCTCTCTATACCCACAGACACCTGTGATACTTATAAGCTGTGTGGTGCCTATGGAATATGCAACATTCAAAGCTCTCCTGTGTGTGGGTGCCTGGAAAAGTTTGAGCCAAAGAACCAAGCAGATTGGCTCCAGGCAGATTGGTCAAGTGGTTGTGTAAGGAGGACCCCTCTGAGTTGCAATGAAGGAGAGGGGTTTCTCAAGTACTCTGCTATCAAATTGCCAGACACTCAGAATGCTTGGTTCAATCAGACGATGACACTCGAAGAGTGCAAGGCGATTTGCACCAAAAATTGCTCTTGTATGGCTTACTCAAACATAGAGATTCGCAATGGAGGAACCGGGTGCTTCATGTGGTTCGATGACCTGCTCGACATTAGATTAGTACCAAAGGAAGGGCAAGATATTTATATCCGGGTGGCTGCTTCTGAGATTGGTAAGAGCTTTGATTGATATTTTGATTTACGGTTCAATTCGTGCTTTAAAATCATTAACATAGTAGATAATTTGTAGACAACCTTGGCCTAGCAAAGCATGTATATATGTGTAATGTGAACTACTATGCAAAATTTGATGTTTTTATATGCTTAGAACATAATATTCTATGGCAAATTAGACCTTTGATCTGCATATACTTGGTAGCATTATGCGAGGCCTTGATAACTCAAGGATATAGAGCCCCGCGTCACTGGAAGATTTGGTGTTGAGAGAATCAGACCCCATACTCATTCTTCTTGTATTGAATTTTGCAGTCTCCCAGGTCGGATCGAGTCGTTCAAGTGGAAAGAAACGAAAGATAATCATTATTGCTGTGTTGCCATCGGCTGGAGTGTTTATGCTAACTCTGATTCTTGTGGGCTGCTATAGAAGGAAGAAATATTCAGAGGGGAAACATAAAGGTAAGCAGAATGAGTCAATCTTTGTTCTGACTTGTGAATGCATTTTTTTTTTTTTTTAATCTCAAAACTAAAATCATTCGAATCATATTTTAGTGAGGCGAGGGCGTAACACGAGGGATTATAATGAAGAAGACAACAGTGATGAGTTTGAGCTACCTGTGTTTGACTTAACGACACTAAATAAGGCGACTGACAACTTTTTAATGGAGTACAAGCTTGGAGAGGGTGGATTCGGACCTGTTTACAAGGTAAACGTTTATACAAGAAGCAACACGTACTGATTGGTGAACTAAACAGAATGTCTTCCTTAGCTTAATTTCTTCCAAAACTAATCGACTATTTGTTGAATATATACTTGGTGTGTTTGCTACAAATTTTGACATAAACATAAATATTTTTAGGGTGTGCTAGATAATGGACAGGAAATAGCTGTGAAGCGGCTCTCGGGAACTTCTACACAAGGACAGGATGAGTTCAAGAACGAAGTACTGTGCATCGCTAAACTCCAGCATAGAAATCTAATAAGGATGTTAGGATGCTGCATTGAGGGAGAAGAAAAAACGTTGATCTATGAATTCATGCCAAATGGAAGTCTCGATGCATTTATATTTGGTGAGGCCTTTTTACTCTATAGCAAATTAGCAATTAATTTGTTATATGGAAGTAGTTTGTTGTTTTGTTGGCACGTACAAGATAACCCTATGTTACAATTGTTGCAGATGAAGCACAAAGCAGACTTCTAGATTGGCCAAAGCGCTTCCAAATTATCGACGGGATAGCTCGGGGCCTTATGTATCTTCATCAAGATTCCCGACTCAGAATCATTCATAGAGATTTAAAAGCTAGCAACATCTTACTGGATAGCAACTTGGAACCAAAGATATCCGATTTTGGGATAGCAAGATTCATGGGAGGGAATGAAATAGAAGCCAAGACACACAGAGTAGTAGGAACATAGTAAGAATCTTAAGAACATTTCGTTATACTATATATATATATTCTTCACTTGTAACATTTGGGTACACTTTTGACGCAGTGGCTATATCGCTCCAGAATACGCATCACGTGGCCTCTATTCAGTAAAGTCCGATGTATTTAGCTTCGGTGTCTTGGTATTGGAAATTATAAGTGGGAAGAGGAATACAAAATTTACTAGTCCAGATGATGACATCAACCTTCTTGGATATGTATAGCACTGTAATTTTCGATTCTTTGCAAATATTTACAGTGCACTATATATCTAACATAATTCTATTTTCTACAGGCATGGAAGCTGTATAGAGAAGGTAGATCAATGGAGTTGCTCGAGCCACATTTAAGCGACACACATTCTCTTTCGATATCCGAAGTGTCCAGGTCGATTCATGTGGCTCTATTGTGCGTGCAACAACGGCCAGAAGATAGGCCAAGCATGTCTTCCGTGATCCTAATGTTGAATAATGAAGGTGTCTTGCCCCCAGCTAAACAGCCAGGTTTTTTCACAGAAGGTGATGGTACCAACTGTTCTAGCAGAAATGACCTAAGATCAACAAACGAGATCACCATTACAAGCTTAGAACCGCGCTAGAAAGCGTCCATTGCAGATGAACACGGAAAATTTTGCCCCGTCTCAGTTTCGATTATTTACCAGGAATGAAGGTTGGGAAGAACCTGGGAAATGCAGCATCAACAAAAGTTCAAATATTGCATTGATTTTTTATTTGAGGAAGAAATATTGCATTAATTCTCATAGGAGCCGCTCGTGTGAGATTGTTTCATGTAAGAGAGGTGATAGAAATATATTATTACATTGATTGATTTAATTCTTATAGGGAAAAAGGGTTAAATAAGTATTTAAATTTTATACCAGAAGTTAAATAGACCTTTGAATTTTTAAAATTTTTAATTAAACTCATCATGGTGACAGACAATTTAAAACAACTCCATCTTGTTTTTTGTCATTTGTCATTATCTATAAATATTTTGGTTCTTGATCCCAACCAGTGTGCATTTTTGGAAGGTACCGTTGACCAAACAACGTGGTGGAGCTGGGAATAAGAGTTCTTGTTTTTTCCAATTCGATCCAGCCCATTAATATGCAGGAATAACACATAAACAATACCAAGATGGCAGGCGAAAATGATCAAAAAAGGAAACAAATAATAAACTCAGGTAGGTATTAGGTGCAAGTGTGCAAGTATGAGTTCATCAAGTCATTGCTGCTTTTCCCTATTCATCTTCTTTCTTCTCTTTCACAAGATTTCCTGCGCCGCAGTTGATACCATAACCGCAACTCTCTCTGTAAAAGACGGCAAAGGAGAGACCACCGCCATTGTTTCGTCTAATGGAACCTTCGAACTGGGATTCTTCAGCCCAGGTGAGTCTAAGAACCGATATGTTGGCATATGGTACAAGAACATATCTGTGACAACTGTGGTGTGGGTTGCCAACCGGGAAACCCCTCTAAATACAACCTCGGGGATCCTTAAAATCATCAAACCCGGAATTCTCCTTCTCCTCAATGAAGATAACACCACCATATGGTCAACTAATACCTCAAGATCAGTGCAGAATCCCATTGCACAGCTTTTGGATTCCGGAAATCTTGTCATTAGAGATGCGGGTGATCACAATGAGGAGAAGAATTTTCTCTGGCAGAGTTTTGATTACCCAACTGATACATATTTGCCAGGGATGAAAATAGGTTGGAACTTTGTAACTGGGCATGAGACATACCTGTCGTCTTGGAAGAGCAGCGAAGATCCAGCCACTGGGGATTATAAATATTCCATTAATCGCAATGGGTATCCACAGAGCTTCCTGAAAAAGGGTTCAGTTGTGCGATATAGATCTGGACCCTGGAATGGCTTCCAGTTTAGTGGCTCACTGAACTCAAGACAGAGCCCTTTCTATGAAATCGGATTTGTTTTTAACCAGAGAGAAGCATACTTCACCAATCACCTTCTTCAATCAGTTCTAACAAGGGCAACATTAAGCTGGAATGGACTTCTTGAGCGCACAACATGGGTTGATAGGACCCAGCGTTGGGTTCTTTACCTCAATGTACCCACAGACACCTGTGATATTTATAAGCTGTGTGGTGCATATGGGAAATGCAACATCCAAACCTCTCCTGTATGTGGATGTCTGGAAAAGTTTGTGCCGAAGAACGAAGCGGATTGGCTCAAGGCGGATTGGTCTAGTGGTTGTGAAAGGAGGAGGCCTCTGAGTTGCAGTGAAGGAGAAGGGTTTCTCAAGTACTCTGGTATCAAGTTGCCAGATACACAGAATGCTTGGTTTAATCAGACAATGGGACTTGAAGAGTGCATGGCACATTGCTTGAGAAACTGTTCTTGTATGGCTTACTCAAACATAGAGATACGCAATGGAGGAACTGGGTGCTTCATGTGGTTTGATGAACTGCTGGACATTAGATTAGTACCAAATGAAGGGCAAGACATTTATATCAGGGTGGCAGCTTCTGAATTAGGTAAGGGCTTTAATTTGCTCCCATCCATTTATTGATGATTAATACTTTGTGCTTTAAAACATTATGCAAGGTCATGATAACTTAGTGATAGAGCCTTCCTTACTTGGGCAACCCCTGCCAAGTTAGTCAAGAGTATTGTTGACTTGGTAATCACAAGGTTACAAGTTCAACTCGAAACGAGATTAGCCTATTGATTTTTCTTGATTTGAACTGGTTAACTATGAGCAATATAGGCTGGTTTACCTCCTTGTGATCCTTTACTGACTAGATCAGAGAAAGCGGTTGTGGATTTTTCTCGTCACCCAAATGATAGAGCCCTACTTCATTGGAAGATTTGGTGTGAGCACATAATCAGGTTGTTGACTTGGTAACCACAAGGTTACAAGTTCGACTCCCAATGGGAACATCGTATTGTCCTTTTTGGTTTGGGCTGATTAACTATGTACAACCTAGGCTGGTTTATGATTCTTTGCCCGTGGTGATGGAGTGAAGTGTTGGGAGGGAATTTGACTTGACCACTTTTGTATTGTTGCCATAGTGTTTTCTAGGAGACATTAATGTCTCAACAAGGGGACTAAAGAGATGCTACTAAATGCCAATGTCATTCTGGTGGATATTGAATTCTCAATTAGTCTTAAGCTTGTATATACCTTTAGATATTGGCACCAGATTTCTCTCGTTACCCAAATGATAGAGCCCTACTTCACTGGAAGATTTGGTATTCAGAGAACCAGAGCCCATAATCATTCTTCTTGTATTGAATTTTACAGTCTCCGATGTAAGATCAAGTGGAAAGAAACAGAAGATACTCATTGTTACTCTGTTGCCATTGGGTGGAGTACTTGTGCTAACTCTGATCCTGGTGGTGTACTATAGAAGAAAGAAGAAAAATTCAGAGCTGAAACATGAAGGTAAACACAATTAGTCATCATTGTTAATCTTTTTTCTATCTGGTTCCTTATTTGAACTAAAGCCATCAATCATATTTTAGTAAGTCGATGGCACAACAAGGGGGATCACAACAATGAAAGCAACAAGGATGAGTTTGAGCTGCCTGTATTTGACTTATCTACACTAAATAAGGCTACTGATAACTTTTTAATCGGGAACAAGCTTGGAGAGGGTGGATTCGGACCTGTTTACAAGGTAAATGAACATATATACAACTATATATCACATTTATTTTCAAGAAGCAATACTGTTTGGTGAATGAAACTGAATATTGTTTTTAGGGGGTGTTAGAAAGTGGAGAAGAAATAGCTGTGAAGCGGCTCTCGAAAACTTCTACACAAGGGCAGAATGAGTTCAAGAATGAAGCATTGTTCATTGCTAAACTCCAGCACAGAAATCTAGTAAAGATGATAGGATACTGCATTGAAGGAGAAGAAAAAATGTTGATCTATGAATTCTTGCCAAATGGAAGTCTTGACTCATTTATATTTGGTGAGGCCTTCTTACAACAATATAATAGAAATCAATCAACCAATCATCATATCATCATTAGAATTAAGAGAAAATGACCTAATTAATAAAGCCTTGAATGGTGTATAGGTTTTATACATTAGCCATTTCTTGCTAGTAACCCTATATGACAATTGTTGCAGATGAAACACAAAGCAGACTTCTAGATTGGCCAAAGTGCTTCCATATTATCAATGGGATAGCTCGGGGACTTATGTATCTTCATCAAGATTCTCGACTTAGAATTGTTCATAGAGATTTGAAAGCTAGCAATATCTTACTAGATATTAACATGGAATCAAAGATATCAGATTTTGGAATAGCAAGATCTTTTGGAGGGAACGAGATCGAAGCCAATACAAATAGAGTAGTTGGAACATAGTAAGAATAATATAATGTTAAGACCATTTCATTTTACTGTATCTTTATTATCTTCGTTCTTTGCTTGTAAAATGTGTTCTTTCTTCAATGCAGCGGCTACATCGCACCAGAATACGCAGTACGTGGGCTCTACTCAGTAAAGTCCGATGTATTTAGTTTTGGTGTACTGGTATTGGAAATTATAAGTGGGAAGAAGAATACAAAGTTTTTTGATCCAGATAATGACATCAACCTTCTTGGACATGTAAGCATTATATTATAATTTTCCTTACTTGCAAATATATTTGCCAGTGCACTAGCTAATTAACATTAGTCTATTTTCTACAGGCATGGAAGCTGCATAAAGAAGGAAGATCAATGGAATTAGTTGAACCACATTTAAGTGACACAACTTCTCTTTCAACAAGCGAGGTGGTTAGGTCGATTCATGTGGCTCTATTATGTGTGCAACAACGTCCAGAAGATAGGCCAAGCATGTCTTCTGTGATCGTAATGTTGAATAATGAAGGTGTTTTGCCGCAAGCAAGGCAGCCGGGTTTTTTCACAGATGATGGTGATTCTTATTCTTATAACATAAATGGATTTGGATCAACAAATGAGATATCCACTGCAAGTTTATCAACAGGTGAAATGACCATTACAAGAGTAGACCCATGCTAGAAAGCATGCATGTATTTTTCTTTCATTCTTTTTGTTCTCACGCTTGCATACTGTACTTTGATCCTTTGATTTTAGAAATGTAAATATATCTCATTGGAATTGCAAAAGTGGTTTTTATCAAAACAATGGCATGCTCACAGATGGTTTATTTTATATAACTATAAACTTTTTAGTTGAAATATTTGGAAATTTTAGTGTTGTGCTAATATAGTAATATGTTAACAAAGTGTAAATGCAAAAGCATTCTTGCTATTGTCCATAATCTGGCACCTAGAAATCAACTCGGGAAAAACAAAATATTTGGAAAATGTTGTGTGAGATAGATGGAGGTGCAGCGTGGTTTTGCATTGTGTATATGATGATTTGGTAAGTGAAACATGAGCCACTCCCCTCCACGTGAATGGGTGCCTTGTAGGTTTCAATTTCTAGGCAAAACACCCATCCACGTACGCCTGCAGGCCATTTCAAGTTCATGCATCTCATTGGTCTAATGGATTTCATTGGAGTGTGGAGACTGGAGATATATATAATTATATATATACATAAAGACAGATTGAGTTGTGGAGCCGAGGAACACAAGGCTACTGCTTACGTCAAATTTCATGCCTGTAAACACTGTTTAATTATGAGGGTTTTTTTTTTTTTTTTTTTTTTTTTGTAAATCTTCTTTTTATAACAAATCAAAACTTTAAAACGACTCAAAAGGCAGTAAACACGGTTCAAAACAATATTTTAAAATAATTACTCACAAATCAACTCTTAACACATGCTATTTATTCGTTGTTAGCTCCCTGGCAAATTTTTTTTTTTAATGGTTTCTAACTTACTCCACTGGTTTTCACACAACAA